GTTCTTTATAAGCTTTATTTGATTGTTATTTTTTAGTGTAGAAAAAGACTCCATGACCTCAATTTCTTTAATGTATGAAAATCAATGGGTGGGCGTTTGCCTGGGCATGGGCACTTACCAAGACAACTATGGTATGTTTATTGTAAACCTGTCATCACCAAGGTGATATGGCTGCAATAATATTATTATGATTACATGTTGATCATTACAATCTTCGGGGACAGAGCCACGTCACAAGACGTTCCACGTTACTAAGACGCGCATCACCGTACCATGTATTTCTATGGGCACTGCGCGAGCTGCTGTAGAACGCTGGTCAAAGAGCCGGTGAAAATAGCTAAATTCAAGAAAACAACACAAACTCAACTTTGAAGTAATTCTGAACAACCAAATTTATATATGTTACACACGTAGGGCTAATCTTGTTACACTGTTCAGAGGAGTTTCAACAACCATCCCAAAGTACCATATCTGAGAGTTTTCGGCTTTTGTTTTCACCGTGATGGTGGTGGTGAAAATGCCTGGATGTCCGCCCAGAGAATAACTTCGTATCCTTAGAAGTTTGTCGCTGTTTTTCAACTCTTTTCTTTTTTTTCTGTTTTTTCTCCACAGGACATTCCAGCAAAGAGTCGATTATTGTGTCAAGTGTGACATAACAGAGATTTGACTGTTTCCTCTTGCATATCCAATCAGTGTGGGTGCTGAGCCAATTATTCAAATTTTATTCAAAATTTCCTGATCCTACATCACTAAAATTCTGGAAATTTAATTATTATTAATATGATCTTTGACTGGTGTTCTGATCATGAATTAATTAAATTTTAAAACTCTAATTATTTAGTTGAATGCAAAGTTTCTGTTCTTTATATCTCTGAATTGCGTTGTATATAATAGTGCATGTATTCTTATCTGAATAAGCTTTTTTGAGCTTAAAATTATTGCAATAATATTGTAATTTAAAAGAGTTTGAATTTAAACCAGATATCTTTGTGCTTAGGTCAAGTAAAAATTATTTAAATAACATCATGTTTTTAAAAAGACCTCCACGATATTTTCTTCAAAAGTATAGTCATAAGAATAATACTATTGAAATCTAAAAGACACTCCTTAAAAGGAATCTAAAAATAGTAACTAAGCAGTCTTTCTTTCTTGTCCATTTCATGGTAGTTCATTTCTTAGTTGTCAATTACTTAGTTCATTTCTTAGACAGAAGTAAGACAAATAGACTTGTTATATAGTTAGGTGGCATGTTCAAATCACTGTTTGCAGTGTATCTCAGTTAGTTTTTGAATTATTGCTTAATTATACAATTTTTTGTTTTGTATTTTGAGTGAATTAAATAGTAATTATGTCATATCCCACCGAGTTTATGAATTCAGGACTTAGAATCATCCCTGATGATGTTTGTCGAAGAAAAAAATGTCAAAGACTGTGGTTGTGGCACAACAAGTTTACGTATTTACCTCACACTTTTACCCGACATAAAAAGTTGAGTGAGCTGTACCTGAACAATAATTCCTTTAATGTTTTCCCCCTTGTGCTTTGTCAGATAACAAATTTACAGATTTTAGACATGTCTAATAACTTGTTAGATAGTCTCCCATCGAGTGTAGAATTCTTGAATTTGAAGAGGCTTGTGCTCTCTAATAACAAGTTTGAAAGCTTTCCGGAAGAAGTGACGAAAATGCTACACCTCCAAGAACTGTTTTTAGGCTGGAACAGAATCAAAGTTTTGCCATGTAGTGTTGGTAAGCTGGAAAAGCTGATCGTTCTTAAAGTTAATGATAACTTGATTTGCGATATCCCCGATGAGATTGATAAGCTGGTTTGCTTAGAGTTTTTGAACATAGAGAGAAATAAACTTGAGCGATTACCCTCGACTTTGTTCACTAAGCTTGATAAGTTGAAGTCTTTCGAATGTCGAGACAATCCACTAGCAGATCCTCCTGGATACGTCTGCGAAAGTGGTCTGCAAAATATTCGTAATTATTTGGAGCGCCATCAAGTTGTTGCAGTTGGAAATAGTAGGCTTGAAATGCCACGACGAAATGTACATATTGAAATGCCCGATACCAACACATTAGCGGACATGGATGATTACGACTGCTACCCGATGACAACGAAACCTCGTGGTATAGCTTTGATTTTCAATAACAAGACATTTTATCGAAACCCAGCCATTCCTTCGAGTGTAAAGCTACCAGACAGAGCAGGCACTGACACTGATGCAGGTATTTCTCATTTAATTATTACATTTATCAATTTATTTTCTCGTTTTTTTTTTTTTTTTTTTGGTGTTTTGTTTTTACTCAACATTTTTGTGTCAATTTACAGTTTGCAAAATTGAATAATTTTAAGTCCAAAATATGGAATTATTTTCTCACAAAATTTGAATCACTTTGTGTTACAATATTCGGATTCAAAAACTATGATTTTAAGACTACGATTTTTTTTTTAAAACATGTCACTGATAAAAGTCTAGATGTGTAGACATGTATAGCAATAATACAAGAGAATATATATATCAGTCAAAACAGCAATACAGCAACAATGCCAGCTAAGTTTGCTATGCACGTCTCAAGATGATTAGAACAAGTTATGTCAAACCAACGAACCTCAACAGGAGATGTCAAACTAAAAGTGAAGGACTCAGTGAAAAGTTGTTATACTATAAAACATGTCTTTTTAGCTAGCATGTTAATTCACTACGTTCAATTACCCACCATAGACTCCGGTCAGTCAAAATGACTATTTTGAACTGTAGGCATTAATCAGCGATTCTGCCGGTGACGGAGAGATAGAATCCAGGTCAGGGGAAGCCCCACGACCTCAAGATTCTTTTACCCCTTACGTCACGAGCCCACGTGACCGAG